GTCTATTGACAAGTGCCTCTTATTTTTGATTCAACCATTATATGATTGACCTACATCTCAAGTAAGATATGGGTGGTTCATCTGGTGAACTGATTAGATACTGTATTGAGCAAAGGAGTGAAGCAAAGATATAGCCACACTCTTCTGTTATTTAGGCATGTAGGGCTATCTTTCAGTATACTCCTGCAGAGTGCAGGGAGTTGGACTAGATGACCTGCAAGGTCCCTTCCATTTCTAACATTCTATGATTCTATGAATTTGTATATCAGTGATCTAAGATCTTATATTTCCAGAGATGAATTCTATCTGCCTTCTCTAGCTCATGTTAAATTGCTGTTTTCGTTGCATGTGGATGATACAGCTCTTCTCTCAAGATCCATGGCTGGACTACGTAAATTTATAGCCTCCTTTTCAGAATATTGCTCCAAATAGGGCCTAACTATTAATGTTTCTAAGTCAAAGGTCCTTCTCTGTATTAAACAATGACAGACAAGAAAATCAATCTGTGGAGCAAGTAGAGCAATTTAAGTATTTAGGAATTATATTTCAAGCGAATCTTTCCTAGAAGGTGCATTTGAACTCTGTTATAAGAACAGCCATGAGTACTAGGAAGGCTACTTTGAGATTTTATTATTCCTCTGGGGGACAATATGTGCCTGTAGCAGTTAAAGCATTTAATGCTAACTTTTCTGGGCAGTTATTGTATGCTGTAGAGATCTGGATTAGTATGGTAGTTAATACTGATGGGCCATTACTAAGATTTTTATACACTATACTGGGAACTTTGTGATGTGCGGCAGGAATAGCTTTGAGAGCCGAGATTGGGGATATATTCTGTCAGGGCGAGCTTTGTTTTGACCTCTAAGTAATCCAATCATGCCTGCCTGTTTTTCTTCTTCCCATGAAACACTTTGCTGGCGTAGGCGGAAGAGATCAGAATGCTAAAAAGGACAGGAAGACAATGGGTCATTCAGGGAACTTGCAGCCACTCCCCCCTCCCCATGTCTCTTCCTCCCAGGAACAGCATGTTGTTCAGTCGCACAGTCGAGCTTGAACCTTGCTACCTGATTTGCCCGGCTTGACCTCGGACTGTTCCTGGACTTTTGCTTGCTTGCATCACGCCCCCTGGTCCTGCCGTGACAGACACTGTCTCACCATCTCATCCTTTGAGCCCGCATTGCGGGGAGGGCGGGGTATAAATTGAATAAAATAAATAAATAAATAAATAAATTTGCCGTCCCCGTCTTCTTTGACCTTCAATCTTTCCCAGCATCAGGGTCTTCTCCAGTGAGTAGTATTCTGAGGTTTTACTGAAGTTTCGAGTGTCACTGGTACCTTCGTAACGGCAGCATTAATTAAAACAAGCCCTGCCCTTCTCTCAAATCTGTTCGCATACTTTGCCCACTGTTGGTGGCATTGCCCGATAATTCAAGATTTCTCGAAACAGATACTAATGCAAATTGTGAAAATTAATGCTATCCACTTACCTGCTTCCCTAGAGTCAGTTGTACTAGAACTAGGATTAATAGATTTGAAGGTAAAAAGTATACGGATGCAGACAGCAATATTGATTGCAGTTGCCAGAATTTCTATTGCACAATTTTGGAAAGCAAAAGAAGCTCCATCGTTATATTGCTGGCAAAATAAACTTTGGGAATATTTTGTGCTTAGCCGAATTTCTACAAATACCTGTGGGGAAAATACAGCAAGTAAACAAAAATTATTTCAAGCAACTTGGTTCTTTAATTATTTAAAAGATATTATCTTTATTTCATCTTGTATTAATATGCTCTCCTAAAGTTATGTATTGTTATATTTATTGACATAAGGTTAAAATTGTGGTGTGTTGTTTGTTTATAAAAAATAAAAATTATGAATTAAAAAAATAAATCTGTTCGCATGTACAGCAACCGGCATACCTCATGCTAAGGAAGGGAATAAAGAAAGTGGTGCCTAATGGGGCTGGAATCGTTCCCTCTGCCGTGCCACTGTTGATGTGGTTACTTGAGAACAGCTGCGGCGCATATGATTTTCTGGCTACCCCAGTCAGTAAAGCTTCTTTTTTTACAAATTAATCGTAGGTTACACCCCATCGGAAGAAATCAAAAAGTCTTCTGCTTCCATATACCTCAAGAATTTGTCATTGTCCCGTTAACTGAACTTGAGGGTCTTTTGTGGAATATCACACCCCATTCTGCTTTCTCTTCATTACTCCTTTTTCTGTTAGTTGATAAATAGCTATATATGATGGGGGGTTTTTCCTGCTGTGTGAGGAATACGTGTTCTCTCGCAAGTCGAATGACCCATTTAAATACAAGCAGGCTAGGGGAAAGGGGGTGACGAGAGGGCAAACTTAGAAATAGGCAAGGTTTTGCCTAACAGGCACTGTTAGTTATAGTTATGTGGCAGGAATAAAGAGAAATACCCCGGAGTGAAGGTAGGCCATTAAAAAAAGATTTGGTTAATATTATATTTAATTATGTTTTCAGGAACTCTCTGGCTCTGCTTGACGTCTCACATAATGAAACAGCACAACAAAGAAGCATAGCGATCACATCTATCGCAGCCATTTGCTATTAACCTACCTCAACAAAGTTGCCAGGCAAAGAATACATTTTCCCTCCTTTTTTTTTCTTCATTCTGACCAATTCTGTAGTGCCCCAGTTCCTGCCACAGAATTAGGATTTTACTGAAGCTGTTTCTAGACCTTTAAACTAGGTGCACCCCTGGAGGGGGAGTCGAATCAGGGCCATAAAGTGTGTGTGGGGGGGGGGAGGTGTTGGTTAAGGCAGTGCTTTAATAAAACCTGGTATGTAGCTAAACAGAGTGGGGGTGTCTCTCAGGACTGCCATCTACATATTAGCTTGTTGGCTCAGTTGGGCAGCTTTTCAGAGCTGAAGCGAAAAGGAGTCTTATAGCATCTTAAAGACATGTAGTGGCAGGGGTCATTTCGTAGAAAAAGAGGTGCAGGAGCTCATTAACATAATTCATTAGCATAACTCATTTGCATAGGCCACACCCCCTGACATCACCAGACGTGTGTCCGAAGGCAACACCCACCGCTCAGGCTCCACTGGACTGTTTTGGATTGCTAGGTATTGGGGGGGGGGGGAAACATGTAGATCTGTCCTCGCAGAGGAGGGAGAGCTTGTAGCTGAATAAAACTTGATCTTAAAGGTGCCACTGGACTGTTTTGGACCGGGGGGCTGGGGGGGGGGGGCTCTGCAACTTACCTGGCTGCTTCTTGCTGTAACTGACGGCTGCCGGGAGCAGGGGGTGGGAATTGTTGCATGTGCCCGCCCCCTGGGCTCTTTACTGCTGGAGCTCTGCTCCTGTCCGCTCCTGCAGGAAATGGCCCCTGTGTAGTGGCATCAGTTTTCATAGGCCAGAGTGTGCTTGTTCAGATGTGTGAAGTGTGTCTTCTCGTGGCAGATATGTACATGGAGGAGGGGGGAATGCAAACAGTGAAATCAAAAAGCAGATGAGTAGTATATTTATTTTACTTCATTTATGCTTTGCCTTTCTCCCCAGTGGGGACCCAAAGTGGCTGACATCATTCTCCTCTCCTCCATTTTTCCCTCACAACAACCCTGTGAGGTAGGTTAGGCCGAGAGAAGTCCAAGGTCACCCAGCCAGCTTCCATGGCAGAGCAGGGAATCAAACCTGGGTCACCCAGATCCTAGCCCATCATTCTAGTCACTATACCACACTGGGGGCGATTTCTCACTAGAGCTGCCTTGCAGCACAGCGCCGTTTGCCTAGACACAAAATGTCAATTTCACACCCGAAGCTCCGGGGCTGCATTTTGACTCGGGGCTTCGCCCGATTTCCTCCGCAGTTTTGTGATCCTGGTTTTTGAGGATCATGAAACTGCGGAGGAAATCCGGCGAAGCCCCGAGTCAAATGCAGCCCCACAGCCTCGAGTGTGAAATTGACATGGCTCTCAAGCCTCCAATTCAATTCTTGCTTCACTTGTGAATTCACTAGGTGGCATTAGACATACTGCTGTTGCTTAACTTAAGTCTATCCTCCTCAATCTGCAATATGTGGTTAATAATAGTTGCCACTGGGCCTACCTTATAAAGATGACTGGGTAATGTATTTGGGGTGCTTTGGACACTTTAAAGTGCTGTGTAAATGCTAAGTATTATTTTTATTATTATATTTCCCCATCGTAATATGCAAATATTACTAATATTTTCCCTTGCTTCCAGAGGAACATACAGACATTTCCCCCAAAGGCTCATTAAGTTTTGACCTGAGGGAAAAAAATTCTTCCAGCTGCATTAATGGGAAAATCCTTATGTATTTTTTTTGGCTTTCCTGAAGTTTTTCTTCTCCCCAAGAGAAGTAATATGAAAGTGCAGATTCTGCTTCCTTTGGGAAACAGGTTTTTTGACTAGATGGGCCTTTTGTGTAATCCAGCAGGACTCTTTTTGTGGCCTTTTAAAATTGGTTGTAGTGATGACCTCACCCTTCCAGAATCTCTTGAATACACAGGGGGATCCCATCAACCAGGGCAGGGAAAGAGAGGGAAAGACTGACGAATGTGAGTTAGGATAGTTTTGAAAGAGTGGGAAGTTGCATGATAAGAGTCACACTTTTTTGCCCCATTGTTGTCTTGTCAATAGACTTTGCAAGTGCTTGAAGCACTGCAAAAGCCACTTATGTACTAATCGTGCTCCCTCGTAAGAAAGGTAGCATCATAGAGCATGGCCTCCTTAGATTTTTATGTTTCTATTTCTAGAAGACCGGTCATTTAGAAGTTAATTGTGATGATTCCAATGATTCTCAAAAAACAATGTTATCACTTCAGTTTTTGACCCAGAGAAGGGTTTTGATACTCAAATGGAAATGCCACAATGTAAGAGACATAACTCTTCATTTATGCATCTTAAGTATGATTGTAAGTCATCTTCCGAATTTGTTTTCCGTGTGTCCCACTTCCTTGTAGTAGAATATACTGTGTCTTACTTATGCCCTTTCCCTTCATTTTTTAGGCTTCGAACTTGGCTTTGCCATGGCAAGTCCCAACGCTCTTGTCTGCTGGGAAGCTCAGTTTGGCGACTTTCACAATACAGCCCAGTGCATAATAGACCAGTTTATCAGCTCAGGTCAAGCCAAGTGGGTCCGTCACAATGGGATAGTCCTACTCCTACCCCACGGAATGGAAGGCATGGTAAGGATTTCACAGATCGTGGTAACATTTCTGTATGCATATAAGAACCATTTCTGAGCCCTGATCAATATGTTTGTAAAAACAGACATCCTGAGATGATTATTAGGTTCAGGTTTGTGTATGTGGGGTTTTTTGTATGCAGAACAAACCACAAAAGAGAACAACTGGGGGGGGGAGATTTTAGTAGCTTGCAATCCTGTGATGCTTGTATTCGAGATCCTGCTGAATTCAGTGGGGCTTGTTTCTGAGTACATAAGGATCAGGCTGCGTGTACCATAAGTACATAGCACGAGTATAAGCACCACTACAGCATGTATGACTCATGCTTAGGAAGCATCAAGATACGACTGTCTCCATGTGAGCAATACCATCCTAAGCGGTGTTAACACCCTTCGAAACCCATTGAAGTCATCAAGCTTATTACGGGGTAACTCGGGATAACAGTGTTGAAGACACTTTTGAACCTGCCGTGTCACCCCTTTCTGTGTTTATTAGCAAGTAGAATCGGTCCTTGGTCTTTATTATTTTTCTTCTTTAACCTGACAGCTGTTCAGGTTCCTGTTCCGTTTCTATACAGTTCAGGCATACCACTACAAGTATCTCTTTAAAGTAGTGTTATCATCTGGAACCACAGTTGCTCTCTTTTGTGAGTAGGTGGGATAAAATCAAGGAGGCTTGGCTCGTTCTGGCTCTGTGCTGTGAGAGGCTGGCCAGTGGCTCTTGAGGCATGCATGACAAGTGGTAGTGATTCTTCACGGGCACCTTAACTCGTTTTCTTCTCAATGATGTGATTATCAGGGCCCAGAGCATTCTTCAGCCAGGCCAGAGAGGTTCCTTCAGATGAATAACGATGACTCTGATGCTTTTCCAGTAAGTAGATCTTTCGTCTTTCCTGGCTTCCTGTCTCCCTGTGCACTGCACTGGCCATTCCGTTCCTCTCTGTAATGTCCCCTTTGTGACATTCATTTTGATTTCATTGGCGTTTAGGAAAACCGTGTTCTATCCTGCCTCTTTTGCCAGACACACTCAAGCGTAGGAAACAAGTACATGTAGATTACAGATTTACTTGTGAGCCTGGCCTAACTAGATTTGTTATGGCTGCACTTTACACGCTGATGGATTAGAGTGACTTGCAAGCGATTAGTATTTACAAAGTATAAAAGAGCAGAGAATATAAATGGCTATAACAGAGGTGGTGATGAAAACAATGGCTGATTTCCTAATGTCTCTGATCTGTCCCTGTTCAGCAATTTGATGGTGATTTTGAGGTTTCCCAGCTCTATGACTGCAATTGGATTGTGGTAAACTGTTCAACTCCAGCCAATTACTTCCATGTTCTCAGACGGCAGATCTTGTTGCCATTTAGAAAACCCGTAAGTACAGAAATGTGTCATTAGTGTTGTGATTGTGATGTTGCAGCATTTTCTCTGTGACATAATGATGTGTGGATCTATTTGAGACTTACATGAGTGGGATGGTAAAGGCACTTTGCCCCTGAAAAATGCATGTGTATCTTGTGGATTACCTTGTATATGATTTTTCTGTACCTGTTTTCTGAATTGTATGAATCCCGGTACGTACGTACTGTAGTGCCATAAAGTTGCAACTGACTTATGGTGATCCCAGCAAGGGGTTTTCAAAACGAAAGACAAACTGAGGTCCTGGTCATACAAGCAGGATACTGCGCCGCTGAAGGGAGGCAAATTAGAGCCGGAGCAAAAAGAACCGCGGTAGCGCGATCCGACGCGCCCCCGCGACTCCTTAGGCAGGCGATCAGACTTAGCGCAGCAAAATGGACGTTGTGTGTTTGTGCGCATGTGTGGGACGGGGAATGGCGCTGGCTGCGATGGGCTTCCCCGACCAGACGCCTGGAGTTGCCATGCTTCATCTGGAAGGTAGTGCTCTGTTGCTAGTACCTTTTTAATGCGCGTTTTTGGACCGAAGGGACGGATCGGGGACGGGTGCGTGACGCTTCCCAGATGTTGCGGTATGATTGCGCCCTCTTGATGCACCCCTGATCCATCCCTTTCGCGGGGCAAATCCTCCCGTGTGACCGGGGCCAGAGGTGGTTCACCATTGCCTTCCTCTGCAGAGCCTACCTTGGTGGTCTATGAATCCCAATACAGCTTTCTAAACTTTTGGGCTTTGTCATTTTGGCCAGTGGTTTGATACTTTTGCCCATATTAGATTTATGTAATACAGATTTTAGACCAAAGTAATATTTGGGTAGGCTGGGGATTTCTGAGGCATTTGACAGGTTTGTTACCCAAACCTCAGTAAGTTTTGTCAGAAAAGAGACCTCTAGATTAGGAGGGCTTTCACTTTGGTTGATTTTCATGCTGTCTGTGTGCTATTTATTTTATGGAATAAGACATCCCTTTCGGTATACAAAATAATTTGTCTGAATGTGACAAGTGATGGCAACATGTAAGAGTTCTAACACTGTCCATTTTGCAGCTAATTATCTTCACACCAAAGTCCTTGTTGAGACTTCCCGAAGCTAAATCCAGCTTTGATGAAATGGTGTCAGGTAAGTTCAGTTATCTTATTTTAGAAGGATGCTGTCAAACTCTTCTCAGAGAGACTCAGGCCCCCTTCTCACGGCATGTTTGCTGCACGAGAGATGCTGCAACATAGCACTTTCCTATATGCTGGCAATGTCCCAGTTTCACAGAGCCATCCCTGTGGCTCTCATATCAAGAGTGAAATCTGGGAAGGGACTTCAACAAAAATTTCAGTGAAGTCCCATGCAGTTAGTTGGTACAGGGATTATTAAGTTCCATCACAGCACTGAAAGATTAAAAAAAGCTGTTTTCATTCCTCTGCAAATGTTCTGTTCATTCTATGATTCAAGCAGTGTTGCTATTGCTAGTTCTGCTGAGACATTGTTACAATCCCATCTATCGAGTTGGTTGATTAATATAGAGAAAAAAAAATCTATAATCGGCTTTAGTTTTGATGACTTGGTACTTTTGTCTGAGCAGAAGGCTTTTGCCTTACTCAAACAAAGACTCCTCGATATAGAGGTGCAAGACCTGAGAAGACTTGCGCACAGACATTGCTCTCCTGTGAGTATGGGACTTTCTTTTAGCCACATTTCCTCAGGATACCTGGCAAGACTGATTCAGCCCCATCTTCGTAGGGCTTTCATGCTAGCACGGTTTGACGTCCTTCCCTCAGCTGTTCTATCGGGAAGGTTCAACAAAATTCCCTATAAAGATAGATTGTGCCCCTGTGGGATGGGGGAAATCGAATCCATTGGACATGTGCTATTGTACTGTAAATTCCACTGTGACATCCGTGTTGTTTTTATTGAACCTGTGTTGGACCCCCTTTTGGGCCAATCTGATGAGCATAAAATTAGTTCTTTATTGTCTTCGCACAATATAGAAATTCTGGAACCTGTAGCAAATTTCTTTTATGAGGTATCTAGGAGGAGAGGCTCATATTAAGGCAATTCGGAATGTGATACCCCTCCAGCCTATCTTGAGGCTCTATGCTGCATGTGTATTTGATATTTTATGCCAATAAAGGTGTTGTATTTGTATTTGTGTTTGTGAGACATTGTTACATAAATTAAAAATACAGGGCTCATTGTTGGGGATTTCAGTAGCACCCAAATACTGTTGCTTTCTGCTCCAGTACCAATCAGTCAACGAGAGCCCGTTCTTGTCTCTCCCACCGCTAACTGCAGGAATTCCTCTACTCCTGATTTTCTCTTCTCACAGCATCCTTCATCATCTTGTGATGCTGGAGAGATGCATTAGAAAACATTTTCCCCTTCCACAGCATAATTCCTGTGAATGGGTGCACAGACTAATGTGTTGGGTGCATGAAGAAGGAAGGATGTTGGTTTCTCATGTGTGGTATGGCCGAGTGTAGAGGGAATGTAGATACACGAGGCTGTTTTTTTAACGTGTTAGTACTCTATACAAGGAGCTGCGGTAGCTCAAGTGGTTAAGACGCTGAACTGCAGGCTGTGGAAGGTCGGTAGTTCAGCAGTTCGAGACCCGGGTGCCGCATGACGGAGTGAGCGCCTGTCTCTAGTTCCAGCTCCGGCCAACCTAGCAGTCCGAAAGCAAGAAATTGCAAGTACATAAATAGGTACCACTTCAGTGGGAAGGTAACAGCATTCCGTGCGCCTTGGCGTCTAGTCATGCCGGCCACATGACCACGGAAACGTCTTCGGACAGCGCTGGCTCTTCGGCTTTGAAACAGAGATGAGCACCGCAACCCTAAAGTTGGATTCGACTGGCTTTCGAGCAAGGGAACCTTTACCTTTTTTTACTCTATACAAAATCCCTAAATTATAAAGAGCAGAGGAATCTGTGAAATTCTGTTATGCTGACTATTTAAGAACAGAGCATACTGGAAAGTATAAGCAGTTTTGCTGTTACTTTCTGAAAGTCCCAGTATACCAGTCAATATTAGAACTATTTTTTTTACTTCTATCTATAAGCATGATAAAAGATCTTCATCTGTATTCTTATTGAATGGCTTTCCTCTGTCCCAAGGTTTTTGATGATAAAATATGAGATGATAAAAATATTTCCATTCAGAACTGTCACCCCCTCATTACTCAAAAGCATTTGTTGGTACAATTTTGTAATTAATATTAGCACTTTTGATGTGTGCTGTCTTTGTTTATAATGTATTGCTTTGATTAAAAACTAAGATGCTGTAGCAAGCAGGAAGATGATTGCCATTGGCATTCCTATTGTGAGGATAAAGGACCCAGCAAAGCTGCTGAGACCGTGATCTATCTCTGCCCTGCTTTCGGGATTAGTTACAGTTAGGCGGTCTAGAACTGTGTGCTGAAAAACGCATCTTCTGCAAACAAAATTCTCAAATAAGCCTCTCTTACACAGTTTGAACCAGATGAAGTTTTGAACACGGTTAAGAGTAGCCCTACCTGAAACAAGCTATAGTGGTCTTGCCTAGGCATAGACAACTGGCAGATCAGCTCAATCCAGCCCACAGAACAGTGTTATCTGGTACCCAGCTCAGAATCTTTGTGCCTCAGCTGCTCGCCCAGCTCAGAATCTTTGTGCTCACACCTGGTCACGAGAGCCAGTTTGGTGTAGTGGTTAAGTGTGCGGACTCTAATCTGGGAGAACCGGGTTTGATTCCCCACTCCTCCACTTGCACCTGCTGATGTGACCTTGGGTCAGTCACAAGCTCTGGCACAGCTGTCCTTGGAAAAGAGCAGTTTGTGTCAGAGCTCTCTCAGCCCCACCCACCTCACAGGGTGTCTGTTGTGGGGAGGGGAAGGGAAAGGAGTTTGTAAGCCGCTTTGAGACTCCAAGTGAAGGGCGGGGTATAAATCCAGTCTCCTCCTCCTCACTCGCAGGTATGAGCCAAGACAGACAAATGAGAGTGAGTGACTAAGAAGAGAGCTTTGGTACAGGGGTGAGTCTTAGCCAATAGTTAACAGGGGCAGCTGCCCTGGGCTCTGTCCTTGGGGGGGGGGGGCTGACTGCCTGCAGCCCCACCCCAAGAGAAGGGGGGGAGAAAAAGAGAAAGTGTCTGCCTCTGACAGTGACAGTCTCTCATGCCCACCCTGTCTGCGGCTTAAGCAACCAGCTCAGCAATAGCCACTTTTGGACACTGTGTCCGAGATTCAGGTGTCTGGCTTCTCAAAGTGGCTCAATTTCTAGGCCTGGGCTGTGAGGGTGAATGTGATTCTAGGGTCCATCCTGGACTTTTGTCCAGGGCCCTGGAATCACTAAGATCCTCCCTGCTTCAGTAGAGCCTTTGCTGCAGTTGCTTGAGGATCTTTTTGGTGTAGTGGTTAAGTGTGAGGACTCTAATCTGGGAGAACCGGGTTTGATTCCCCACTCCTCCACTCGCAGCTGCTGGATGACCTTGGGCAAGCCATAGTTCTGTCAGAGCTGTTCTTGAAAGAGCTCTCTCAGCCCCACCTACCTCACAGGGTGTCTGTTGTGGGGAAGGGAAGGAGTTTGTAAGCCGCTCTGAGACTCCGAGTGAAGGACAGGTATAAATCCAATCTTCTCCTCCTCCTCCCTGGGTCCTAGCTCTTGCAGGAATGAATCAGTGGGCATGGCCAATGCTGGCTGTTGAGCTTGTGCTCAAGACAGGATAATGTCCTTAATTTTTTTTTTTACCAAGATCCTAGCTCAAGTTTCCAAAGTTTCCAAAGGCATGCGTGATGGCTTCTGTATCTACTAGGTTAGAAAGGGAAAGGATGGTTTTCTCATTATATGGAGCCAGTAATAAGCTCCTCTGGCTTTTCATAGTGATCATCTGGTGTTTCAGGCACAACAGTTCAGCAGCACTCCCTGGCTTCATTGTACATTCTGCCAGTGTGCTCAGCAAAGGAAGTTGGTTGCCTTGATTTCTCATGTGTCCAGATGTAATTGCTCCAATCCTGATCTCCCTTTCTGCTATCAGAAGCAGGAGAGTGCAATTTTTTGCTGATTCCCTGCCCCATTACTGCAGCACCTGGCTTTAACCCCACCCCACCCCCCACCCTGATGTACCTGGGGAACTTGCTGACCCACAGAGGCAGAGTTTTGGGAGTTGTGGAAGACTGCAGTGGAATGATGGAGAGGGAAAGTTGCCCTGTTCTGTGGCACAGTTCTGTTTGTGCTGCATAGGATCTGAGCCAATGTCTCCCCCCTTCCCCATAAAAACATATGCTGGGGATAGAGCAAATTGATTCTGTGTTGCCACTGTTGATTCAAATAATTAAGGAAAATACAAGATAGTGTTGTGGGAGGGATCAATAGTAATGGATGAAAATGAAAACAATCATTGTCAATCCCTGGACAGTTCTCAGGACACCTTGGCGATCAGGGACCTTGAATCATTTTTTAAAATGTGTTTAGGTACCAGCTTCAGACGTGTGATTGCTGAAGAAGGGCCTGCAGCTGAAACCCCTGGAGAGGTGAAACGGGTGATTTTCTGTACAGGGAAGGTATACTATGATCTCATTAAAGAGAGAAAGAACCAGGACTTGGAGAAGGAGGTGGCTATAACCAGACTGGAACAGGTAAACCAAAACAATTGAAACTTGCTGTGCAGATAACTTTACATCTTTATACCAGTTAGGTATAAAGCTGGGCTCTTTTAATGGGAAAATTTAATGAAAAGCTGGGCTTTTTTTAATGAAGTAAGAGGAGCTGTCGTCTGATAGCTATTAGAAAACAGGATGGTGAACTATGATACCTGGATTGAAATCTTATCCGATTTAAATTTACTGGGCTGACTTGTAGACCCAGTCCATTTTTTAAAGTAATCTTCATGAGGATATTCTGATACTGTTTTAATGAGAGATGCTTCAGTGTTTTGTTTAAATTTTATTTCAATTTACAAACACAAACGTAAAACATGAACTACAATAATCTAAATCATACATAAAAGATAAACATCATCGACAAAAGATAAACATCATCTAGAAACTTTACAAATGCAATCATCTGCAATCATCTATATCTGATATATATAAAAAAGCCCTGGCATATTGGCACTTTCCAGCTCTCCCATTGGCTGTGCTGTACACTCCATTAGCTATTGGCCCATCAACCGCCACTCAAGAGTACTTGTGTGCCATTGACTGGGTACTGGGTACACGCCTCTCTCGCATCCACTGCCATTCCCTGTCTAAATAAACTGCCAAAACTGCTGTGTGGCTCACTTTCCCCTCAGTGGCTGTTGCTAGGCATCCAAACTTGGTTCTGTCAGTAAAAAGGTAAAGGCAGGAAGTCATTTTCAGGCCTACTTTGGCCTTTGTGGGGAACTCATTGGGGCCAGTCCTGACTAGGGTTGCCAGCTCCAGGTTGAGAAATTCCTGATGATTTCATGGTGGAATCTACGGAAGCAAGAGTTTGTGGAGAGGAGATGCCTCAGCTGAATAGAATGCCATAGAGTCCACCCTCCAAAGCAGTTATTTTATCCTGGGGGAGACCTACGTTCTTGCTGTGGAAGCTAAGTGGGTGATTTCGGACCAGACACAGACTTTCAGCCTAACCTACCTTACAGGGTTGTTATGTAGATCAAAAGGGAGAGAGGAGAATGCTGTAAGTTGCTTTGGTCCCCACTGTGGAGAAATACTGTACGTTTCCTCCTAGGGAACCATTGTTGCTAATCTCCAGGTGAGGGCTGGAGATCACTCAGAATTACAACTGCTCTCCAGATGGCTGAGATCAGTTCCCCTGGAGAAAATGGAGGACTCTGTCATATACCCTGCTGAGGTGGCCCACCTATGACAGCGAGTGTGATGTAGCAGTTAGCACTTCAGAGCAGGGTCTGCCAGACCCAGCTTCTTCCTGTGGAAGCTGATTGGGTGATTTCAGACCACTCACAGACTTTCACCCTAACCTACCTCAGAGGGTTGTTGTGTAGATCAAAAAGGCGAGAGAATGATGTGAGCTGCTTTGGTCCCCACTGCAGAGAAAGACTGTACTTTTCCTAGGTAGAGGCTGCAGGGCGGGGGGAGGAGATGGAAAGCGGAAGTCTGGCCCCGGTCACAAGGGCAGGAAACTGCAGAGGAGAAGCGTGGCTGTTTGCCCTGGGGCAAACTACTGCGCAGTTACGTGATCAGACCTCCTGTGGAGGTCCTGTGGAGGTACCGTGGAGGTTCCATGGCAAGGGAGAGGTGCCGATCACAGAACAAGCCGGCGCACAACGAAGAAGCACACGCCGCGGCAAACTGTTTTTTATTTTTGTGTACATGACAAATGCGCATGCTGAGGGGTGGGACCTCATACATGTACATTGCCATAGACTCCACCCTCCAAACCAGCCATTTCCTCCTGGGAAAACATTGTTGCCAATCTCCAGGTGAGGGCTGGATATCACTCAGAATTACAACTGTTCTTCAGGTGGCAGAGATCAGTTTGTATTTATATATGCATTTTATGTAAGCCACCCTGAGCCTGCCTCGGCAGGGAGGGCGGGGTATAAATTGATTAAATAAATAAATAAATAGTTAAATGTCTTTATCTAGCTTTCTGTCTTTTCCCATCTTTCTTCAAATCTGATATTTTATTACAAACATATATTGCCTGACTCTTCCCTTTTTATCATTTACTATTTTAATTTAAATTTATTATTGATTTTCAACTATATAGTTGAAAAATACTTCCCATTTTTCTTGAAATTCTGAGGTTTGTCTGTTGCGTATATAAGATGTTGATTTTGCCATTATCACATATTCATCTAATTTGTTCTTCCATTCCTTTAAATCTGGACATTTTTCTGCCTTCCATTTTTATTTCTTGTTATTTATTTATTTATCCTTCAACTTGTATCCCGCTCACCCCCTAGGGGCTCTGAGCGGCTTACAATTCCAATTAGCCAACCTAATCTAGGGCCATATATGAAGGGGAGGTGAGAAACCTACCAGGCACCCTTATCCTTTTTTTTGCTGCAAATATTACTCTTGCCACCATCACCTTATGCTTAAATAATTCACTGTGTGTTTTTGTGATATTGCTTGGTAAAATATTTAATAACATGTTTTGGGAGTCCATCACAAACAAATTTTAGTATCTTTTACATTTCTTCATGTATCTCTATGCAATATTTTCTTGCATGTTCACCACATATGGTAAAATGTTGCATCTGTATTCTGGCATTTCCAACATTTCTCATTATACTCTTTGTTAGTTCTTGCAATGTCTTTGGGAGTAATATAGTCCAGTAGTTTTCCCACTGACTCAAGAATATATTTTCTCCAAGATTTTGCATCCATTTTATCATACAGTTTTTTACTTGCTCTGTTTCTCTATCATATTGCAATAACATTTTATTATTTTTTCCTAATAAATGCTTCAGATCTCCAGTGATTAATTGTTCAAAAGTTGTTTTCTTCCTTAATCGACTTTCTTCTTTGGCAGTTTGTTCTTTGAATTTAGATACCATTTGATAATATAACAACCACAGAATGTTTTTTCCTTTGTCTTGAATTTCTTGCCAAGATTTTATTTTCCCTTGTTTGTCAATGATATAATTTATATAATCAGTTTTATTTCTTATACTGGTGTCACAATAGACATAATTGGGAATGTCAGTGGTGAGGTTGGAAGACTTACCGTATTTTTCGGACCATAAGACGCACCTGACCTTAAGACGCACCTAGTTTTTAAAGGAGGAAAACGGAAAAAAATATTCTGAACCTTCGGTCCATAAGACGCACTCACTTTTCCTCCCACTTTTTTTGGAAGAAAAAGTGCGTCTTATGGTCCAAAAAATACGGTATTCTGTTTCTGCACAGGAACCATATTTTTAACAGTACATCCTTCAGAATATGAGTGCCATCTAGTCTTTGAATAGTTTTTAATGATTTCTTAAGCCATAAAGAATTGTGGACTCCTTCTTTAGTATCAACTGTGTCCAGTTTGATGTTTCTTCTGTGTGGGTTTATGATCCAGTCTGAAACCCAGACTAGTGTGGCTGCTTGGCGATACAATTTAATGTTTGCTACAGCTAAACGTTTCCTGTGATATTTTAAATCCTATTCTTGGCTTCTTCCCACTCCATACAAAGGTTATCATTTTCTGCCATTTTAAAAAAATCTTTTCATCTATATGGATTAGTAACATTTGAAACAGAAGAGTCAGCTTTGGTAATTTGTTCATTTTGACAGCAGAAATTCTTCCTAACCACGAGATTTTCAGTCTTTCTCATCTTTGTAAATCTTCAGTAACGCTTGCCCAAACATTTTGATAATTATCTTTATATAGACTATCATTTTGTCCTGTTACATATATACCCAAATATTTTATTGGTTTTTTAGTAACAACACATTCTGTTATTTTTTCTACCTCTTCTTGTTCTGCTTTGGTTCTGTGTTTGTGCATTTCCCTTTACTTGTAAATGAGAGAAATCTGTGTTGACTACACAATGCATATTAAATAGCTCTTCTACTTCTATTGCCACATTCACATTAGTACTATGAACAAGTGCAGGCTAAAGAGTGATGTTGTGATAACTCTTTTAGAAGTCTTATGATGACTGCAAAGTGTTGCACACCATGATTAAGCCAGATGCAGAGGGCCTTTGATTCATTTGATGTCAGCAAGAATCAACCCAGGGCCAAAGATGGCAGTACAATTTCTCAAGCAGAGGCAGTGTTTTGGGCCGTTGGAGAATATCCCGATCCAAAGAATAAAAGTTACTTTTCTCTCATGAACATAAATTAAGAATGTCTTGCCAAGTGTGTATTTTTCTGCTACACAAGATGGAGGTCTAAGCAATTACTGGTTTCCAACACATTCTCAATACAATAAAAACGCATGCAATCATTCTCATCACTGTCTCTTTGGGCACAATCCAGCTGAATTTAAGGGCCTTCAGGTCTAGTTGCTGCAAGCAAGAGAGAATGCATGCAAATGTATGGCAAATATTGCTGCCTCTGATACATGAAAGGGGATGTCTGTAAATAATATATTTTAAAGCACTCCTTGCCTGCTCATTCGGCATCCAGTCTGCAATTAACTTTCACTGCTAATATGTTTGATTCTTTCCAAAGGACATAATTTTATTTTGGGAACAAATATTAATGGCGTACAGGACACAGTAAAACCTTCCATGATACATAAAATCTGACTTTCAGAACGTCTTTGTATTTCTTTCTAGATTTCTCCTTTTCCTTTTGATCTGCTGAAAGTGGAAATGGAAAAGTATCCTCAAGCTGATCTTGTCTGGTGTCAAGAAGAGCATAAGAACATGGGCTACTACGACTACGTCAAACCTCGTTTCCGCACCATTGTAAATCATACTCGACCCATATGGTAGGAAGCCCACAGAAAGTTCTCTTCTTCTTCTCAGCTAGAGTGGTGCACTGTATGTGCGTGTGTGTGTGTGCCTTTGTTGCAGAGCAGTTAGAGATGAGCCTTTGGTATTTCCAGCTGGGCCATCTGAATGAACCATTCTTGTATGTTCTGACTGGCATAAGATTTAGGCTTAGGTCTTTCCCAGCGTTGCTATCTGATATCTGTTTTAAAGTGGAGTTCTGAGGAACTGAACCTGGGGCCTTCTTCGTACACAACACGTGCTCTTTCACTGAGCAGTGGCCTTCTATAGGACGGCTGTTTTCTGCCTTTTTAAGGTGGTGACCAAGCCTCTCTAGGATCTTAAGGAGCCACATTTAAATCATGTTACATTGTATATCTGCTCGATTTGCCAGTCTGCAGTAGCGATATGAGGCTTGACAGATAATATCTTGGGGATGAAGGAGACAGAGGTTGAGAAAGTTGTGTTAAGGACAGTCTGTCTCAGTGGAGTCCATGCCCTCTAATGGGACAAGTTGGCTGAGCTAGCTTTTTCCCAGCTTGAAAACAAAAATACTTGCACATTTCTGTCCATCGAAGCAACTGTTCATAGGAAATATCTAGAATACCCGGGGATTATTACACGTATATGTCTAAAACTGTCCCATCTCTTTTCTCTGCCCTCTTATCCCTTCTAAATAAAGGTATGTTGGTCGTGAACCGGCTGCTGCTCCGGCGACTGGTAACAAGAATGCTCACCTAGTGTCACTTAGGAGATTTTTGGACACCGCTTTCAACCTCGAAGCATTCGAAGGAAAGATGTTTTGATCTTAATACAGTAGCCATTCCTTTCCATGTGTAGTGTACTGTATTTAGGAAAAGTCATGGCAATAGAAGAAAATAAAAATCAGTGGAAAAATATTCGGGATTTTAGGGTTGGCTCTTTTACAAGGCTGTGCTTAGCTCTCTTGTCCTGAATCATTGTGTATCATATGAATGTTCCAAGGTATACTTTCATTTTCTTTCTATCTGTGTGGTTTTATGAACTACAGCACAGCTACCTCTTGGCAAAGAGAAACAGGTCTTTTGCTCTAAATTTTGGAATATTCAAGCTTGGCTACACCTGTATGTGTATTTAATGAGGTTCGTTTACATGATAAATCAATTTTTTTGTTTGTCCGTAGCTTGTTAAATAGTCTAACGTAGCTCAGCTCAGCACAATGTTCTGACAGATAATGTCCACACAAGAAGGGATGCATTCTTGCATGTCTGCTTCACTGTTAAGATTTGCATGTCCCAAACTGCTTGGTCAGCCATATCTCCACATTGCAAAGCAGAGGCACAGGGAGCTTTTTAAGGAGGCTAGTGCACAACAATAAGAGAAGGATCATAGGATGTTTAAAATGTAGCTTTGGAGCAATTCTGACTCTTACCTGTTTTTTTAAAAAGTCAGAAGCCAGTTCTCAAAAGGTTGATCAGCCCTGCACAGACAAGATGCAACACTAGAAAATGCTCCATCATGGTTTTGGCACAAAATGGGAAAACCGGGTTTCCCATGCTGCAGTTGCATGCATCATAAAGCTGTGATGAACAGGGTGCATGGGAGGGTCTTGTCAGATTGCAGGGAGCACCAAGAGCAGGTTTGAGAGGAGAAACAATATAAGGTAAGCATGCAAGACCTACAAATGATGGTTCTTTTATAAATTCCTGAATGTTAGGCTAGTAAGCGTGAACAGAGTTCAAATACAGATCTTGGCTGTTTTTTAAAAAATAAATTAATAATTGGCTTTTAAATTCTCCCTTGCCTCCTACCCCCCTTTGAATATATATTGCACTTAAGATCAGTGGCAAAGATAGTCCTTAGGAGTACAAGGTGGGCAGAAGAGAAACCACTATTCTCCAGTAGCCTAAAGTTGTCACTTCTCATCCTTTTTGCGCTAAAAGTTTTGATAAATTGTTGGACGAGAGTACTGTTTTCCTCCTCTGGACCTGGAGACCTTGAAATAGGCAGCTTCATCATCCCTTTCCCCCCAGTCATTCTTCTTAAAACATGAAAGGGGGAGAGGCGGTGTGGTGCAGTAAGAGTGTCAGACTGGGGATCTGAGAAACCCAGGCTTGCATCCCTGCTCTACCAAGGAAGCTTGCTGGGTGACCTTGGGCCGCTTACTCTTTCTCAGCCTAGCCTACTTAACATAACAACATAAGAAACGCCAATGTTGGATCAGGCCAAAGGCCCATCCAGTCCAACACTCTGTGGCTAAAAATACCAGGTGCCATCAGGAGGTCCACTTCACAGGGTGATTCTTATGGGGACAAAACCGAGGCGGGAAAATTGATGATGTAAGCTGCCCTAGGTCCCACTGGTAAGAAAAGCAGGGCAGAAATGCCTAAATCAATCAATCAATATTATTTGTATCAGCAGGGCCGGCTCGAGGTGTTTCTGCGCCCTAGGCAAGGCTGCCTTGTGGCGCAGATGCCAACCTCCCGGTGGGGCCTGGAGGCCTGGAGACCTCTGGAGCCAGCCACCCTTTTGCTGCCGCCACCACCGCCTCTTCCCCCCGCCACCACCAAAGGAGGGGGGGAGGCACAGCTTGGCGACCCATCCAGGGTCCGGCGCTCTAGGCGAATGCCTAGTTCGCCTAGTGGGTGAGCCAGCCTTGTGTATCAGCCTTATTACAAATTAGAAGCACTCAAATGACAATAGAATATAATAGATGAAAAGGGGGCGAAAGGGGAGTGCAGCAACAGAGGAGTCCTGCTAACAGGTGAGTCACCTCTGAGGAAGAGAGTGAAAATCTCACCATGTGAATGTGGCAGGATTATCTCTCTGCTTACGTGTCCTCTCCCCCCCCTTGGTACAGAGATTCATCACTTCACTAATCCAGTTCAGAAATACATCAAGTTATTTACACACACACACACACACACATCCCCCCGCCAAAAGCCCTCTCCCTGACCGGGTGCTTGCTGGCCGCCACTGGAGGAGGCTGCCCAAGCCCGAGGTGGTGGCATTTCTGAGCTAGTGGCATTGTGGGGGGGCAGCGCACGACAGATGGCACATGGGGGAGGGGGCGGCGCACCAGGGGGGCACCAGAAGGGATCCTGCCTAGGGTGCAAAATAAGCTAGGGCCGGCCCTGTCAGTGCACATTCCTAACCATGGCCTAGCATTGCATTTTGTCATTAGTGGAGCAAGAGCCGAGCCCTTAGTAGCTCATGCCAGGGTCTTCCTCCTGCTTTTCTAGCACCTGATTTACTCCCCCGTGTGCGGGGGAACCCTCTTCACTACTTACAGTTCATCAGGTGCGTTTTAGACAGTTATGCAAAGTAGATCAGGTGTTGTCCACCTCAGCACAACCTCAGCAGATCTAGCTCATTCCGATCCATTTGGAGCATCATCCTTGGAGTGTCAGAACCCACAGCCAACAACGAAGTACACGCATTCAGGAACGGTAATACTTTTATTGCAGAGCTATAGATGCAGTAACATAGGCACTGTTAAGAATGGCGGCGGCCCCATGGGCATAATAGGATATAGGGTATTCGTATGCACACACACCCCCACAGCACTGGCCAATTAGGCACCCTCTCGTGCGCGGGTTAAGGCTTAGAGACCGTTAGGTAGCTGAAGCTGAGAACGAACACTCTCCCACGGCACCTAGGGCAATCCCAGACACCACAACACCCTCCTGCACATCTGTATAGATAAGCGTATCAGCGCACAGCAGAGACAGCACAGAAAGGAATGCAGTAGCAATTAACCTGAACAGAAAGCAATAACAACCAGACACAGACCAACCTCCCCATCCTTCATGGCAACATAGCTGACATGGAGTCTTAAAATGCAGCAGAAGAGCTGTAACAGCCTGTGCTAGAGGATGGGTCGTTTTAGACAGTTATGCAAAGTAGATCAGGTGTTGTCCACCTCAGCACAACCTCAGCAGATCTAGCTGATTCTGATCCATTTGGAGCATCATCCTTGGATTCTTAAAATGCAGGAGAAGTGCTGTAACAGCCTGTGCTAGAGGATGGGTATAACTTGTGGCTTTTCTAAACTAGGCTGCTTGTTCCACTTCAGGAATGTCTTCAGGAATTTCCAGTATGCTTTCTATACAATAGGAAGACCCCTGTACCTCTGTCAGATCCTTGCACATCCATTTTGCTCTGAATGAGAATCAAAATCTGCAGGGTGCTGGGACATCTACGATGGGGTCTTCACATGTTTTTAACATGCTAACTGAAGTCATGCAGGATGAGCCTTTGGGAATGCTGCAGCAAACACACGAAGCCTGTTTTGTACCAGTTGGCTTCCAGTGTGGCTTGGATCCTATGCCTAGTTTCCACTTGTGCATCTCTGCCCTCAGTTGTGGAAGCGATCCTCAGTTCCTCCAGCACTAGGTGCTTTCCACTAAAGCGAGACCGACATCTTTCAGTGAGCAGAAATTGCCTAGTGCCAACCAGGATGGGGCGCTGGGGATGATGCACCCACCCGCCCCCTGCCGAGAATTTCCTGGCAGTGGGGCTGGTGCCAGCAGAACACGCTTCACCGCAGCAAACAAAAAGCTGTAGAAGAGGGAAGAAAATATTCAAGCTTATGGTTCCTGAGCTCAAAATAAAACTGCTGTTTTTCACTTTTAAGGATCTAATCATCTGGGGTCCAAAGTACTTGAAGGATCACCTCCCTCTGTATGCTCTTGCCTGTGTTCTGAGATGTGCCAAGAGGGCTCTGCTGCAGAAATTCACACTCAGTGTCTTTTAACTTCTGTGCTGTTGAGGGGTGTCTTTATGGCAGTACTGTGTATTTAATTATTTTGTAAGCCAGTTTGATTGTTTTATACACATAAAAGTAGCGTATAAATTATCTACATCAGTGATAATCAGTGGCTCTTCGACATGTCATCTGTAGTTCTTCTGAGCATTTTGTGGCACAGTGTGGCACCTGCCCCATGTTTCAGGGCTTACAATTGGCAGGTGAGTCCCACTTTGGGAGAGTCCACTGCCTGAGAAACAGGTAAGCTGCAAGTTCCCAAATATACAGGCATGCCTGGGATGGAAGTCAACATGGCTCTTTTGGTTGATGGCAATCGGGAAATGTGCCTCTCCATGAGCCTCTCCTTTTCCCTCCCTTTGAAGGGTTAATAAACAGTGCTGTGGCAAAACCTCATGCAGGGATAAACTCTCTTCTAATCCCCACATGGCCCTAATCTGAATTAGGCCCCCTGTACAGGTTGTTAACATTGTTTAAATATTGGCAGGATCTGATCACAGATTTCCCAGTATCTCTTTCTGTTTGACCCAGAGATAAGCTTAAATGGTTAAGCAGCTCCAAGCAGAATGTTTTGTGCTTTTTAAATAAGTTAAGAATTTCAAAGGCAAGGACTGGGTGCAGTTTAAATAATAATGGGTCTATATATTTTGCTCCGTTTTTATGAGGAAGGACATCTCAGTATAACTTGAAATATTTTCTGTCTCCTTTTCAGTGATAAACGATCTGGTGGCTGGGAAACACGCACATTTAGAAAGCAGAATTAGCAGAGATGTAGAAGTGGGAAATGTCAGGTTTCCGTTCTCATTGTTGTTTGTGGACTGTAACATGATGTTTTAGAAATAAATTTTGTCCAATAATGTAAAAAATAAAATAAACAGTGGAATATTCTTTTCTTTTCTTTATTTTTGGTTTTAGAAATAAATTTTGTCCAATAATGTTACAAAAAATAAACCGTGGAATATTAAATCTGTTTTCTTTCTTTTCTTTCTTTTTATTTTTTTGACAGCTTCTCAGGCCTGTAGCTACAGTGGGGCATTTAGGGGCCTGGCCCCCCTGACTTCC